GGACAGAACGGCAAGTTCTGGAGCACATTAGACAGTCACCATTTTTGGTGACATTGCACTATGCTTTCCAGACAGAGACTAAACTTCATCTCATCTTAGGTAAGTGTCCATTGTCATACTTTCTATGAGAACATTTTTCTTTAGGTCTTGAGGCAACATAGTATGGACTTAAAAGAAATTGTTTTGTCTCTCATTCATCTCTTTGTGGTGGCATTTCTGTTAACATCTTGCTTTGGAAGTGAGACCCCTGGCGTAGAGAAATTTGTATACCTCTATTCCATACTCCACTATTATTCGATGTGCATCCAAGAAAATGCAAGGAACTTGATGGCCAAGTGGGCTCCGATTTGTACTTTAGTTTTCAAGAGTATGTAGGTTTGGGCTAACGTAGGAGATAGCTATGGAAGCCAATAGTTAGGCCATTCTCTATCAGTCTCTATGTCTTGTCTCTCTGTTTCTCTGTGTGTGTGTCTCTCTGTCTCTTTCTCTGTCTTTCTCTCTCTCTCTCTTTGGATCAGGATGTAGCACTCTCAGTTACTGCTCCAGTGCCTGCCTATATGCTTTCCATACTCCCTGCCTTGATGATGATGATGAACTAAACTTATAAAACTGTATGCAAGCCCCCAATTAAATTCTTCTTTTGTAAAAGTTGCCTTGGTTATGATGTTTCCTCACAGAAATAGAACAGTGAATAATACATTTCCTAACTAATATGTTTTCATTTTACTCAATATTCAGTTGTTTAATTTATCTATAGCTGTCCAACAAACCACCTAGAATAGAGTAGCTAAACAATGACATATTTTCCTAAGATTTTGGGTAGCTGGGAAGGACATTTCTCTGTTGTTTTAGGCTGTTCTCATTTACATGGTATGTAGTAGAAGAGCTAGCCTGTTCAGAAGATCCATGGTAGAGTTTCGTATCTGACAATTGGTGCCATTGTTCAGTAGGCCAACTTGTTTCTCTCCAATGTGGCTTCCCAACCTTTAGTACAAGACAGCTTCTTCGTACTGGCAGCCTGAGAGTAGCATATGAATGTTGCTGAGAGTGGAATGAATGCAGAGCTCATCTAGGAACTCGGGTAGTCTTCTGCCAACACATGCTCAGCCTAGATTTGTATACTGCAAAGAGTGTGTGGTCATCTGACAAACAAGTCTGTGTTCAGACATGACAAATTACAAAGGGCTTGTCCAGTCCAGAAAAGCGTCCTTGCCTATGTCTTTTAGATTATTTTCACTTCTACTGAATTTCAGTGTTTATGAAGTTAGATAGAAAGGCTAAATAGATTGAAGTTAGACATTTGGGGCTGGACTATATAGTAGGAATGTTTATATTGTAAAGCATTAAGAGAAATCTGTTGTCTGGTTGTTACTAATTCAGAGTGCTGGAATTGGATTAGTAGATAACTATATGAGTGCTTCATTATAATGTGATATTTTCCCCTTAAAAGTAAGTTGTTCTGTGTGTTATTTTGAAACTATATGATTAGCATACTGAAACATCATTAATATAACAAAAAAGTTACGTCAGCTTCATATCAATTCATAAAGATTTTCCTTGGTCTTTTAAATGTCTGCATTGTGTTCTTGCAGTTCCTTATGACTGGATTCTCAAGTTGTTGTCTGTAGTTTTGTCTTATGTTGCTCTTTCAGGATTGAACTTATACATAGATTGTTTTCAAGTTTCATAGAAAAATCATTTGAGCAGAATCTATATTTTAACCATCTGTGATTGTGTCAGATGTTCTTCCATTGCATGCTTGTGTGTATTTCTTTACAGAGTGCATCACCAAATTTCTGGATTTTTGTACATCTTTTAAATGAGGAGGAGTGTGTCATTGTAGGATAAACGTTTTAAAATTTTCCCTCCTGAGGCTGGCATCTTTTTATATTCTTGAAGAGCCACATGACATGTTCTCAGTTTGTATAGTTCTGAGAATTGCTTATTTGTACTCTTTGCTCATTTTTTCTGTTTCTAGGATCTCTTAGAAAGATTATCCATTTGTGATAAGTATTTCCACATTTTTCATTTTTTAACTTTGTTTACAATACTTTTATCAAACAAATTTTATATATAGTAGAATTTATTTTTAAAATTATTCTTATGGCCCTCAATTTTGAGTCATAATTGAAAGACTTTCTGTTCTCTTAAGTATATAAAGGAATTTACTGGTTTCTTTTTTCTTTAGTATTTACATGGTTCTTGTTTTTGTGTGGAGAACTTTGATCCAAGTAGAGTTTTTGTTTGAGTAGGACAAGAAGTAAGGGTCTAGCTTTTTTAGATGGCCACTCAGTTTTTCTACATTACTAAGAGAAAAGCTCATTCTTTTCCCTGACTTGTGCTGCAACCTTTTTCATCCATGACTGTCTCATATGTGTTTGGATATGTTTCTTAACCTTCTCTCCTGTTTGGCTTATTGAATAATGCCAGAGCACCATACTGGAATTCCTTTAGCAGTACAATGCATTCTAGTATTCAGTAATGTCAGTTCTCCAATAACCCTTGCTTTTTATTGCTGATATTTAGAACTTTATGGAAGGCTATTTCCTGTCATTTTCAACATGAGCTTTATAGTAAAATTGTTTTGTTCTAGGCGAAGAAAGTCTTGTTAGTGGGTTTTATTGTCATTTCTTTAAATTAAAAAATTAACTTTGAGCACACTGACATTTTTGTGACACTGGTTAGTCCTGTTCAAGAAGATGGACTGTCCTTGCCTGTAGGAATCTGCATCTAAGATCTTCAAGAGTGGTTAAACATTTTCTTTCTACTTGTGTGTCTTGGATTAATATTGAACTTGCCATCATTGCTATCGTAAACAGCACCTGCTGTATCTTATAGCTGAAGGACTCTACTTTTTTACAGTAATTTTATACCTTGAGATCTTACTGCCTTGTTCCTTCTCAGCCTGCCCTAAGACATGTTGGTGTCTGTGACTTTTCTGTCTCTCTTCTTTTCCTGAACATTTAACTCAAGGAGATTTATAGCCATCCCTGATGTTTTTCAGGATGTTTTAGAGATTCAAATCTAGGCTAACATCAAATCATGGCTCACTGCAGAGTGCTTGACATGGCTTACTCCAAGGGGATAAAATTTGCTTGGTTGGCACAGGCTTCTCCAAATAAGATCATTATAATGATAGTATCTTACCAGATGCTATCTGTGACGTTTGTATTTAGTTATGAAATAGACTAGCATTTCTAACAGAATTGAGTGTGTATGATTGCTTCCCACAATAAGCTTTAATTATAATTATCTCTCATTTGTTTATATTCTATCTGCCATTCTCTAAATCAGTAGGCAGTACTTTTTCTGACCAGTAAAGGGCCAGATGGTAACTATTTTAAGCTTTGCAGGATTTTCGGTATCTTTGACCATAGATTGTAGTAAACAAATAGGCATAGTACAGTTCCAATAAAAATTTTACTTATAGGATTGGTAGTGAACTAGATTTGCCCTCTGAGTTATTATTTGATAGCCCTTGCTCTTGAAAGTGTGTGTGTGTGTGTACGTGTACATACTTGCACACACATGTGGAAGCCAGAGGTTGTTGACATTAGGTACTGTCCACAATCTATCTCCACCTTATATTTTGAGACAGGGTCTTTCACTGAACCTGGATCTATTTCATCAATTAGGCAAGACTAGGGATTCAAAAGGCCCCGTGGGGATTCTTTTGTCTTGGTCTCCCCAGCTCTAGGATTACAGGTATGTGCCTCCATATCTGGCTTTTTATGTGAGTTCTGGGGATTAAACTCAAGTCTTCCCATAATAGCAAGGCAGTTACTGACTGAGTCATCTCTCTAACCCCATTAAATCACATTTGTGTTTAAAATGTTACTCTATAACATTAATGGCTCTTTAGCTCGTTTATCTTAACTGTATCACACACACAACCACACACACACACACACACACACACACGGTGGAGTTTTCCCCTTTGTATTTCTTGCAGCTTTTACAAATCTTACAACATGGACAGCTTACTCCTTTATAACTTTTTCTCTACCTATGTTGATACAAGAAATATAAAAACATCTTCATCTATTCTTTTCTTTTTTAGAACTCATTATTTCAACAGAAGTTGGAATTTTATGTGGGAAATAATCTGAACAAAACAGTTTCTCTTTTAGTAGTGTCTGAAAAGTCAGCTGATCTTTGGCTTTAATAATCAGTCAGATTAATCATCAGGACTCATCATACATTAAAGAAGCAAATTACAAGTGTATTTACAAGGGTGATGCCGAGGAACATTCTTAATAAATGCTACATCAGTCTTGTAGGCAGTTCTTTCCTCGTGTGTTATCTTTTCAATAGGAGTTGGATGTTTAAGACATTAGAGTTCACTTTTGAGTTTTAGTTTCATCTCAGAAATTGCAAAGGTGTTGATGATTGATGATGGTAACAATGGTTCATTGTACATTGTAGTCACTAATGTCACAGAACAGACAGGAACTGCTGCCAGACGTTCCTCCTTTTAAGTTAATACAACTAATTCTCAAGACTGAGAACGCTTTCTGTGGTGACTGATGAACTGTAAGAAGACATTGTATGAGGGGACACACGAAACTTGAAACAGGAAGGGTAGTGTGTGTGACTGGAGAGTGAAAGCAGAATAGTCTTTCCTTGAAAGCAGGAGGTTGTTGGTGTCAGCTGTCAAGTAGGCTTGTGGAAGCTGAGAACAGGACATCTCTGAAGCAGCTCTCTGGCTCCACCTGTGGTTCTTCCCCTGCATCCTCAGTAGGAAGATGCAGTGAGGCAATTCTGTAGTTCTCAGCAGAACTTTAAACCCCATTGCATTTCTCCACTGGCTAATAAGAGCAAATGAATTAGAGAACGGTGGGGAGATTTCTGGGTTCAACATTAAGTGGTGTGTACAAAGGTTATGAAAGCCTGTAAGTGTGCTCCCCCCAAAAGGAACATGCCTTTTCCCTTTCAACGAGGGAGTTAGCCTCTTTGCTCAAATACAAGGGCTTGCTAGAAATACTAAGAGTGCCAGGAGAGTGCTCGATTTGGCAGCACATACACTAAAATTGGAACGCTACTGAGATTAGCATGGCCTCTGCGCAACAATGATAGGCAAATTCTTCAAGTATTCCATATTTTTAAAAAGAGTGCTAGGAGAAAAAATTGTTACAGATACAACTGAATTTGACCTTTTTGTTTTGAAATGTACCAAATTAATAAATAGTTTATGCTTCAAAGACAAAATTTTGATTGTGTCATTTTAACCTAAAAAAATACTATGTTTTTTATTTATAGCAAGTAACTTTGTTTGCAGTGACTGTTATCTGTTTAATACACACTTGAAAAGTTTGATTTATGTTTGCTGTTCTTCAGAATTACCCTGTAGACTATGGTTACTTATTTGTTTTAAGGTTTTTTAATTTGACAGTTTTCATACTTGTATATAATGAATTTTAATTATTCTCACCTCCGCATATTACCTTCCTTATTCTCCCCAGCTTCTTTCACTGAAACCTTTCTTTTTCCCAATAAGCCTCCTTCCTACTTTTGTGTCTTTTAATGTATGTGATGCAATGAATTTAAATGGGGCTTCTGCGTGAGCCTGGTTGGAAGGTCATTTACTAGGCAACTTTATATGACCAAAGAGAGTGGTGCTCATTTTCCCAGCCACCATTAACTCAGTAATCCCTTGGGGAGGGGTGTGGCCTCATAAGCTCTTACCCATATGTGTGATGAAGTTTTGATGATCCTAATCTTGTACAGGTAGCTGTAGCTAAAGTGAACCCATGAGTACATAGGTCTGTCATGTTCAGAAGACATGGTTTTGCATCAGACTTCCCCAATATGGCTTTTTTTGCCCTTCTATTATGTTCCCTTCATCTTGGGGGTATGTTTGTATGTATGCGTACTTGTCCTTTCAACAACTGAGCACTCCATAGTCACTTTCTCTGCACTTGAACTAAATGTGAATCCTAATATTTTAACTGTGTCCACTATAAAAACAAGAGTGCGAAGATAAGTATTTAGAAGGCAGTTTGGTACAATGTTTACTTAGCAAAATAGTAATAGTAGGTTCTCCCTTGGACCTGTGGTATCCATACCATGGGTTCATGGCTGGATTTATAGTACTAGTCAAGACTTCATTCTGTGGAGCAGGTCTTAAATCCAACCAGAAGGTCATGGTGTGTTTCCCCCAAAACATTCAGGCCAATATTACAACAATCGTGCCAGATTGATTGTTTATCTTTGGCTAAGACTCTTGATAATTTCTCTTCTATGAACCTTCACAGAATCTCTTCTACCTAAAGCTTCATCATCTTCTTTCTGTCTGTAATGGCTTATCTGACTTCACTGGAAATAAATCAGATCTAGTTGCTACAAACTCAAATTTTCTTCACTCTCCTTTATTTAAGATTATTTGTATCTGGGAACTGCCTCATAGATTGACTGTGAGTAAGGATATAGATTGGGATGGTTAGTGTTAATTGTCTGCTTGATAGAATCTCTTGGAAGATGGGCCTCCAGACATGCCTGTGGGGAATTATATTGATTATACTGATATGGGAAGACACACCCACTGTGGGTAGCACCATTTAATGGACAGACTCCTAAACTGCACAAATGTAGAAAGTGAGCTGAGCAGCAGCATGTAACCAGGTACTTCAAGTTCCCACACCTTGACTTCCCCACTATAGACTGTACCGTTGAACTATGAACCAGAATAAATCCTGTCCTCTTAAAGTTGATTTTGCCAAAGTATTTTTATCATGGCAATAGGAAAAGAAATTAAGATACTGATAATAGCAGGAATTACAACTTTTATAGAACACATTGATGTTGAATATAAATGGCTTCTACCTTTAAGAAAAAGTGGTTTTATTTTTAATTATGTCGATGTATGTGTGGATTTGTGCATGTGGATGCAGTACCCAGAAAGTGCAGATGAGGAGTTCAGACCCTTGGGAGCTGGAGTTTTAGGTAGTTGATAACATCGTGATGCCTGAAGTGGGAACTAGACTCTGAACTTGGCAGCTGTGCTCTTAGCCACTGACCATCATATCAACCCTAGCTTGTGCTTTTTTTTAATTAAAACTGATAGTATTTACCAAATTCAATATGTAAATATATTGTGACTCAGCAATCCATTTTTCAGATTCTGACCTACTGAATAATACCTGCCCAACTGGATAAAATATATCTTGAAGACATTTTTGTCAATATTCTCTTACTCTTAACTATTACAATAATGAGAATGTCAATATAATTGTAGGTTTTCTGTAGGCCAGAAAATCTTAGATTTGTTTTACCAGAATCACAAAGGAGAAAAAGGTTTGATAGGAATGTGACTAATATTTTTGTTTGTTTGGTTTTTGTTTTTTCGAGACAGGGTTTCTCTGTATCTTTGGAGCCTGTCCTGGAACTAGCTCTTGTAGACCAGGCTGGCCTCGAACTCACAGAGATCCACTTGCCTCTGCCTCGCGAGTGCTGGGATTAAAGGCATGCACCACCACCGCCCAGCTTGTGACAAATATTTTTGTTGGTTGTTTTTGTTTTGTTTTGTTTTTGTTTTTCAAGACAGGGTTTCTCTGTGTAACAGCCCTAGCTGTTCTGGAAGTCAGTATGTAGACCAGGCTGCCTCAAACTCATAGAGATCTGCCTGCCTCTGCCTCCTGAGTACTACTAGTACTAGGATTAAAGACATTCACCACCACCGCCGGCATAACAAATATTTTTATACTCACTTCTAGATGTTTTACTATTTACTTGCCACTGGGCACCATGCTGGATATTTTTATATATTAGTTCATAAGTCTTTGCCAGCAGCCATGAAAGAATTGGTGTATCATTGTTGTAATAGAGAAAGGTGTCTTGAGCTAACTGGCTGGCATCTGAAGAAATAATGTGGCATCTGTGTGCTCAGCTCCTTTGTTACGTTCATGTATCAGAAGAGGCAGCTTTATTTTAATAGCTGACTGTGAAAAACGACCTGTTACTTTCCTTTATCTTTCCCAGTTTACCATTCTTATTTATTCCTTAATAAGTTTTTTTGTCATATTGTCATGTTTGGGTCACTCCATTGCTTTTACTTTACTTGAAATGGGTGTTATACATATTAATTAGATTTTGGTTTTTGTCTGTGACAACTAGGTTTATAAGGAGGACAGTTTTGTTTCAGCTCCTACATCCAGTCTGTTATTTCTTTTTTTTTTTTTCAGTCTGTTATTTCTAACTTCATTGCATCTCGGCCTGTAGTGAGGCTTAACATCATGGTGGAAGGGCGTGGTAGAAAAGTACTCTTCACTTTTAGTATCCAGGAAGCAGAGAACAGTAACAAGAAGGGGCCACAGCCAAGATACACCTGTCAAAGACATGACCACAGCAATACATTTCATCTAACCAGGCTCCACCTTGTACCGCCTTCCCATAGTTTTTTTCAGACTTTGAATTCATCAGTGAATTATTGGACTATTAATAATTAGATTTCTCATGATCTAGTGCACTTTGGAAATGCCTGCATAGACTTACCTAGAGGTATGCTTTAGTGTAATCTAGGCATCTCTCAGTCCAATCAAATTGACAATCAAGATTAACTATGACATACTCAACTCTTTAGTCAGGCTTTCAGCTAATCTGTCCAGCCTTTCTCCTCTTCCACTCAGTCTCCTCTGTTCTGCTTTGCTACCTGTGCTGTAATTGAGCTAAACTATTCACTGGCTCCTCTATAAACATACATTTCCTGCTTAAACATTTCTCTCTTTGAAAACTATTTCAGCATTTCCTAGCTGAGTGTGCCAGATGCAATACTTGATTTCCCCAGCCCTCTGCTGTCCCACTTTTCCTGGAGTTGTTTGACTTAAATGAAATGATGTCTGAAAAATGCTTAGTGCCATCCCTGACAGATAATGATCGTCAATGTAGCTGTATCAAAATAAAGTCGAGAAAAGTACAAAATGGAACAAGAACATCTTGTTGTGGTATAAAGAAGAGTGTAATGGGGGCAGAAGCAAAGCTCTCCCTTGTGGAATAATCTGACAAAGAGAAGGAGAGAGGGAGTTATAAAATCAACACTCCACACTAAAGAGAGTGGGTGATAGTTTAGTGAGAAGCAGTATAGTTTTGCATAATCTCAGCTCATTTCTTCATAGTTTGCCAGTTGATTACAAGGGAAAACATAGTAACTTTATAGTGGAGAAACCTGGAAATCAGTACTTTGATGATTCTAAATTAATGACATGATCAAAATTAGTTGGGAAAACGAATCCATCCTCCCATGTGGCCTAGGAAGATAACATCATCTGCTAATATTTGTTCTAGGTATTTATACTTTTGTCTGATCATGGCAGAACATCACACATTGAGGACTGGCCCACACCAAAGGATGTTTCCTCTTAAACAGTCAGGGACAAGAAAACAAAGGCAGAAGCTTCCATATATATGTTACATAAGCTCTAGTGCAGTGTGTTCTTGAACTGGATTTTAGAGTGGAATAAAGTCACCACAAAGAACATTAGGCAAATGACACAGTAAGGAAGTCCAGATATGGTAATGGTATTTTTATCATGTGGTTATGTGAGAGAATGCCTCTGGGAAGTTTTAGAAGTAGAGAACAGTGTTTTCAGCTGGTTCAGGAAAGATGTGCACACGTGTAAGAGCAGAGAAGAGAGTTCCACAGCAAATGAACAAAATGTGTGCTGGGTTTTCATAGTTGGTTCATGGGATTCTTGTTACTGTTACACAGTTTTGGTAAGTTTGAAGTTGTAGAAATCTGAACTTTTGTTTTTGGTTGCTTGATTCATTTTGTTTTTATAAGGTCATAATTGAGGCATTATATCCTAGGAGAAACTTTAATAGTTTCTTATTTATGATGGAGTAATGGATTGTTTTCTCAGCCTTCTAAAGACAGGAACAGTTTGAGAGTACCCCTCAGGCCTCATACTGTAGACCTGTAAATAGGGTGCAAATTTTCTAAAACCATGTTTCTCATGTTTGTAGCTTCCTGCTGTCTGACTTTGTCCCGAAGTCACAGTAGCATAACAAGAAAGATGTATATATTATAGATATGATATATTATTTTGATGGATTACACAATATTTCTCACAACTGAACATTTGATTGTACTTGCTTTTAAACAATATGAGA